CCCCCCCACACACACACTCTCTCTCTCTTACTGACACATTGACACTCACACAGTCACTCTCTCTCATCACTCACTCACATTTTCCTCCTCGATCCTCCTCCTTCCCCCCCTCTATCACACTTGCACCTTCTCTTCTCACCGTTTCTCCAATCCCTCACCTAGGTGGCACGCAAAACAAGCTGGCCGTTCTCTGCAAGTTTATCTTGTTTTTCAGGCCGATAATGCCGCTGTCAACGATCCAACAAATCTTTACCATTTGGTGACTTCTGATATTTTTTAAGAGGGGGAAAACAATTCACATTGTACAGGCACGTATGATGCTATTAACCCAACAAACATGGATAAAAAACTGACGACCATCCCTATTCAGCTTTGATTGACTCTATGCATATGAAGTAAGTGCATTTTGCCACTCTACATTTTCTACTCTTAATCAAGAAAGCAAAAAGAAAGCGCCCAAGCGGGGAATTGAACCCCGACCTCCCCCGGGATGGTGCGGTTCGTCACCACCCTGTGGGTGGTGGCGAACCGCAAATGGGGTGTCCTACCGTTGGACGACCTGGACAAAATTTTATGTAAATACAAAATTATTTGACGTTTCATTGGACTGTTAATATAATGCACGCATACCTTATTCCCCACTTTCATTCCTTGGATCCCTTGAGAACGCCGCCGAGCTGCAATGGCAAACAATCTATGATCCAATAGATACGTTACCATTTGGTGGCTTGTGGTATTTTTTAAGAGGTGAAAACAATGTACATGTACGGGCAGGAATGATGATATGAACCCAACAGAAATGGATATCGAGTGGGTCATCCCTATTCAGCTTTGGCTCTATGCATACGAAGTCAGCCCACTTGAGCTACTCTAAACATTTTTTTCTCATGAGGTAACAGGGTATTAACCGTCAAATCTCCATTGGAAAATCACTTTGCGGTCTGTGATTACTCTGACCTTTTCCTCACTACGGACAGTGAGATATTCCCTTGGCACCTGAAACCTTACTTTCTTGTACTTTGGCTTGCCGAACAGAAAGTATCAAAAACCCTTTGTAATGAAAGGTGGCCAATTAACAACTCTTTGTATTGGGAAGACCAAACAAAAGCAAATATCAGATTTTAGATGTTCAAAATTATGTGATTTTTCATTGGATTCCCACCCCCGCCTGTACACACACCCATGCCCGCACAAACTACAGCTGTACTCGCGCTGACCTACGCTATCAAAGGAAGCGTGCATTAATTCCATACCGTGCGCCTCCTCAGGATCTCCTGCAACAGCAGCATACCCATTAAAATCTGCGACGGGAGCAGCTCCTGAGGCGGGATTATGAGAAAATAAAAGGAAAGTAAGTGTCGTTATTAATAGGCCAGCCTGAGCATGTGCGAACAAGACACATCGGGGAAAGCCCAAGGCTTCGACTCGAATCACGCGGGGTGGTGGGACAATTCTTGAAACGTCAAGCAAGCATTATGCATGTATACACACACCAACACACACACACACACACACTGCACACACGCTCACTAACAGTCACTCACACTCATACACGCACCCAAGCACACACTCTCCCTCTTCTCTCCCTGCGCACTCACCCCGAGCGACCATCATGACGCCCACCCTACCCCACGTGAAAGGCTAGACACACAAGCGCCTCCCACAAGCGTGCGTGCAGGGGACTCGGAGGTTGCACAGGCATACAGGCAGAAGCGGCGCATGAAGCTGGTGCGGACTGGGATCACGAGCTGGGGGCTGTGGCGTTGGCGGCAGGAGTGCGCCGCTGCGACGGCACGCCGCGCGTGCAGAGGCCAGTGGCGGTTGCTATATAAAGCATCCCTGGCAGCCCGCGCACTGCCCCCAGTCAACCCATAGAAACCGACAACCCCGGTCGCAACTTCCATCCCCCCCCCCAAATCCATACAACCCGTCATCGGGTCGCCGCATTCGCCATGTTGCCGCGTGGCCCTTCTACCTCCGCGCGCGGAGCGTCGCCTCCGTTATTTCTAGCGGCGGCGGCCGGCGCCGCAACGATGCTGTTGCTGCAGCTACTGCTGCTTTCCGGCCCGGTCGGCGCCGCCGTGCGCGCCGCGACTGTGCCCACCGTGCGCCCGCCGTCGACGCCGCTCGCTGTGCGCTCTCCCTACCTCTCGACCTGGATGCCCGCCGACTCGATCGTCGGCACCTGGCCGCAGTTCTGGACCAACGGCCAGACAAAGGGTTGGGCCGGCATCGCCCGCGTAGACGGGGCGGCCTACGCCATCCTGGGTAACCCCATCCAGGACTCGGTCGTCGGCTTGACTGCAAACGCCGTGCAGAAGAGCCTCACCCTCACCCCGACCACCTCCACCTACGTGCTGGCAGCCGGCCCCGTGCAGGTGACGCTGGTCTTCTTCTCTCCCGTCGAGCCGTCCGATCCCAAGCTGCAGTCCATCCCCATGTCGTACCTGCAGATCTCGGCCGTCTCGACCGACGGCGCGTCCCACTCGGTCCAGATTGAATGCGACATCTCCGCCGAGTGGGCTCACGGAGACTCGTCTCAGGTCGCGACCTGGGCGGTGGACAGCTCCGTTACGGTCACTGGCGGAACTTTACAGAGCTTCACTGTTCAGGCTCAGACTCAGACGCAGTTCAGCGAGACGGGAGACTATCCGAACTGGGGGTGCGTCCGATGAACGCGATCGCTACCGACCTTACCTTCGCCCTTCCCATGCCCTTGGTTTTTTCGTATGCCTGCTCCGTGAGCCTTCGAGTCTTGCTCCTCCGCAAAAAGGTCACATACTAATTAAAATCTCCAATATCCAGAACCGTCGTTTGGTCGACGTTGAACGCAAACAGCCTCACCTGGCAGTCCGGCGACGACGCCACCACAATCCGCGCCAACTTTGCCTCCAACGGACAATTGGCCAACACAAACAACGCAAATTACCGCGCCATTAATAGTGGATGGTTGGTGTTGAACTGCCTCCCGATTTCTCTTTCTGGGGTCAGCTTTGCTCTAACACTCCGTTTTTTTTTCTCCTTGCCTAGGCCCATTTTTGCGTTCGCCAACGACTTCGGTTCAGTTGGAACCACGCCCACGGCAACCCTTACATACGTCATCGGTCACGTCCGCAACCAGGCGATCACTTACCAAGGAACTGCACAGAATGCATACTGGACCAACTACTGGTCCGACTGGCAGGGAATGCTTCAATATTTCTACAACGACCTGCCGAACGCAGTGACCCGGAACGCGGCCCTCGATTCACAGATCACAACGGCGGCGACCAATGCCAACGGAGGCAACTACGCTATAATCTTGGCTCTGGCCACGCGCCAGGCGTTCGCAGGCACCGAGTTTGTCGGCTCGTCCTCGGACCCCTGGCTTATGCTCAAGGAGATCTCGTCGGATGGCAACGTTCAGACGGTCGATGTCGTCTACCCCGCCTCCCCGATTCTCTATTATCTCAACCCCGATTATCTCCGCTACATCATGAACCCACTGGTGGACTACATGTCCAGCGGGCTGTGGCCCCAATCGTACTCGTGCCACGACATTGGCAGCTCGTACCCGAATGCTGACGGCCACAACGACGGCGGTGGCGAGTACATGCCTGTCGAGGAATCTGCCAACATGCTTTTGATGATTGCTATGTACGCGCAGTCCAATCCGTCTGCGGCGGCGACGTGGATCACGTCCCACTACTCTCTTTTCCGTCAGTGGGCCGACTACCTTGTCGAGTACGGCCTCTACCCGGAAAATCAGCTGACGACCGACGATTTCGCCGGATGGATCGCCAACTCCACCAACTTGGCGCTCAAGGCCACGCTCGGCGTCGGCGCCATGGGCCGCATCTCGAACCTGGTCGGCAGGACGGGCGACGCCATCCACTACACCAGCACGGCGCAGAGCTTCATCCAGACCGTCGTCAGCGTCGCGACCGACCCTTCGGGAGCGTACCTGGACCTCGCCTACGGCGACTCGGGAGTCTGGTCGAGCAAGTACAACGTATTCATGGACAAGCTGCTGGGTCTGAACCTGGTCCCGTCCAGCGTGGTCGCACTCGAGGACGCAAAGTACCGCGCCGTCTCCAATGCGTACGGCGTGCCCCTCGACGCCAGGCACACGTACACAAAGGGCGACTGGGAGCTGTGGCTTGCCGCTTCGGCCAGCGACTCAACCCTGCGCCAGAACATTGTCAACGCCGTCGCCTCGTACTTGAACGCCACCCCGCAGCGCGTGCCGTTCTCCGACTGGTACGACACCATCGCCGCCACCCAGAACGGATTCCAGGGTGAGTTTCGTCCTCTTCGGTGATCGCCTATATGCGCGCCGCGCGGCGCACTCATTAGCTTGCGTACTGGCCTGCTGACGCTGTCGCTCTTTCTCCCTTCTTGTAGCTCGTCCCGTCGTCGGCGGCACGTACAGCATACTCGCTGTGAACAAGGGCACCGCCACGCTCGCGGCTCCCGGCTCGGGCTCCGCGATCGACACAAGGTAAAAAAAACTGGGTCTGGTGGATGTCGAGAGGTCTGGGGCGAGCGGGGTTCGCCTTGAGTGGCGAGATGTGTCGGAAACGATCCGTTGGCGCCGCTCCCTCCCCATCTCGAGACTGACGCGTCGTTTTCACACACCCCCCGTCTAACGCAAAATAGCAAAACCTACAAGATAACAGTTGGTGGCCGATCGGGCTGCAACAACATTCTCAGCGTGGCAAGCTGCGGCAGCAACTTGGTTGACCTGTACTCGACCGATGATGGGTAAGGGCGCCGGCTCGTCTCATGCGATACAACCGGTTCTGCAAGCTAACATGCGTGCACCTGCAAACCTCTCAGTTCCGGCCGCCAGCACTTCACGTTCACAGCGGTATCCGGCAAGACCAACGTATACAACGTCAATGTGGCCGGCGGCCGCTCTGGCTGCAACACGTACCTCTCCAGCGCGTCGTGCGGATCCAACCTAGTCGACCTGTACGGCGTGGACGACGGGTCGGGCCGCCAGCAGTGGGTGCTGACGCCGTCGCCGGCCGGTGACGGCTCGTACAACGTGCAGGTTGTAGCCGGGCGTTCCGGCTGCTACGACTTCCTCAGCTCCGGCTCCTGCTCGGCCTCCACGGCCAACCTCGTCGACTTGTACGGCTTTGACGACGCCAGCGGCCGCCAGGAGTGGACCCTCACGGCAGTGTAAATGCGGAAGGGAAGGCCACACACCCCCCAGGGCCACGCACCAAGTTCTAGTCTCCCGCGCTCCCTGCCCTGCCCCCCCCCCCTTCACTTGACCTTTTTTTTGCTTCCTACTATCCATTTTTGTTCCCCTCGACTCCCCCGCGTCTTGCAGGCCCCTGATTTACCCGACCCTGCTCCTGATCCCATCCTTGTAACTTTTCCCCGGCCCCGCCCCCCCGGTAAAGGACC